TCATAGTAGTTAGTTTTAATTTCCTTCCATATTTTTATTAAACAGGCTCTGATTCGGTGTTGACAAAAGTAGGAATGTTTTTCTGTTCCTACGCTTAAAAAGTAGTGCCACCCTGCCATTAGATTGTGGCCTTCTAAGCTTAAAATCCTCTGATTTCTGAGCAATATCCATTCACGTAACCATGTCAGTGCCGCGGCCTGATAGTATAGTCGCCAATTCGGTACTGCCAATCCGCCCTTCTTTGTTTTTTCTTGTAAAGAATAAATCTTTATTCTGGGTTTTTTTCCCCCCCAAATAAAATCTGATGTTAACTTATCCATAATTTTTATAAACTTGTAATTATTGAGTACTGGGATGTTTTGAAATAGAAATAGTATCCTGGGAAGTATAGCCATTTTGATCACTGCCACTTTCCCCATAAGAGACAATTGAAGCTTGGACCAATTTTCTAAATCCTTTTTAACCTGTATCAAGAGCGTATCGTAATTACCTGGTATCAATGTACTTGTTCTATTCGTAATGTTTATCCCAAGATATTTCACGTTCTTTTCTAAACCAAAATCGGTTATTTCTTGCAGTTTTCTCTCTAGGGCTGGGTCACAATTTTTCGTTAGTAATTTTGTCTTAGTCTTATTTATTTTCAGGCCCGATAAATGCCCAAAATCATGCATCACCTCTAGCAGGGGTGGGACAGATTGCAACGGGTCCAGGAGAGTAATGGCAATATCATCCGCATAGGCTTGGATTTTGTACTCTTGGTTCTGTTGGGTGTGGCCTATTATGCTAATGAGTTCCTGCTGGGCGTGGCCAACTTGGGAGCCAGCAGGAACTCCGTTCTTGTGCGTTCCTTCCCAAAAATAGCCCTGGATTGTTGCAAGTTCCAACATCTTCTTCAACTAGTCCTCTATTGTAGGCAATGTTGGACTCTTCCATTTCTGTGCATATAGTAGTCTTGCTGCAGTTGTCATATATAAAAACAAAGTTCCATGACTTCTTTCCAGCTGTTTGTCCATTAATCCCAACACAAAAGACTCTAGTTTTAATTGTATATTAATCTTTAAAATCTTCTGAATTAATAATTGTATTTGTATCCAGAAATTTGTTTTTGCTTTCTTGCCTGTCCACCACATATAGTAAAATGTTCCTTCATGCTGTTCACATTTCCAACATAAGCTAGAAGTACCTGTTCACCCTGCAAGAATTCCAACATATCACAGTATGTTAACCATTTATGCAAACTTGTCATTTCTCTTCTAAAATGAGCTTTTGGTGGTGATAACCACTGGGGTATTTTCAGACAAATCCTAGGCTTATATTTATTCCATATTCTCAAAATGGCACGTCTAACATAATAGTTATTAATTTCCGTGTTAACCGTAGCTTTATCGTATCACAGGTATCTGTGCCATCCAAATCTCATGTCCTTTTAACTCCAATAATCTTTTCTTTTTTAGCAAGATCCACTCCTTCATCCACACTAAACAACAAGCAGCAAAATACAGTTTCAGGCCTGTGGGTATCTTTTTGATCTTACGGACACTGGAGATGGTGCCAACCACAAAATGGCTGTCACAAGAGACAGAGCCAATTAAAAAATGTCAAGGGTTGAGGTGATGCATAATTCTAATAGTAACTGTTCAGCATTTTAGGCACAAGCTCTGTATAACAGGATGACTTTTAGAATGAACATATTCTTTTAAAATATGTTCATGCATACACACAGTTTACCTTCATTCACACAGTGAAGATCCTTGTGTCTTGGTGGTAGCTGCTGTTAAGCATTTTTAAAAATCTGCACAGCCAATCAGATGTCCAACAGCCAATCAGAAGCCCTGCTGGGCAAAAGCCCCACCTAGCTCTGCTCACTTCGGGCATGAGCCAGGGCTACTGCAAGCCAGCTGCCCTCACCTCATGCCAGGTAAGTGTGAACCAGGCCCACAAGTTGACAGCCCTCACTTTGTGGAGTGCTAGTGTGATCCCCTCTTTGGGCCTAACTCCTCCTGTGTCCTTTATATAAAAATGTCAAAGAGACTATAACTGAAAGTCCAGCTCTTGCTGACTCACAGCACATTTTTCGTTCCTATCTAGGACTTGGGATGGAGGAAGCCTGTCCTTCATCTAATCTGAATACCTGAGAGGATTTCCTTACCAGCTTCTCCACTGGTGCAATTAGTCAGCATACATTTTTACTCTGTAACTGAACTGACTGGTGCCCACGGAAAGCCAAATTTACAAACTAGGCTAATGCACAAGCGTGTTAAGTGAGCAAGCAAAATAGCAAAGGCAGTTGAGAAGGCACAGCCCTCTAGTGCCTGAGGCTGTTAGAAGAAGAGAAGAGAAGAGATTGGATTTATGCCCCACCCTTCACTACTGAAAGGTGTCTCAGAGTGGCTTACAAACTCCTTTCCCTTCCCCTCCCCACAACAGACACCCTGTGAGGTGGGTGGGGCTGAGAGAGCTCTTGACAGAAACTGCTCTTTTTCAAGAACAGTTCCTTATCAGAGCTACGGCTTCCCCAAGGCCATCCAGCCAGGTGCAAGTGGAGGAGTGGGGAATCAAACCCGGTTCTCCCAGATTAGAGTCCGCGCACTTAACCACTACACCAAACTGTTACAGATAAGGTTGCCAGCCCAGCACTGGCATCCTGTGGGAGATGGTGAGGGTCAGGGCCCACCTGATTGGCATTATACCAAGAACACAACATCACTTACAGTCATCATATCGGCACACTGTTCTAGGATTCACCAAATACTCTATGGTTTAACCAGTGCAGTGGTGTGATGCCCAATCCCCCCCCCTTTTCCCCCTCCTGCTGCCCCATTGAGTGGTGGCAGGGAACAGGGGTTCGGGGCAGGGGAGACTTGGCCACCCTAGTTACAACACTGCTGTTCATACTGCACTTTAAAAATAAGTAATACAGTGACATAATTTCAAAACAACACAACTTTGATATTGCATATTAGCTGCAATGAATGTGGTTCCACTTTATATCCAGCTCTTACTAACACCCAGAAGTGTCCATTCCATTTGCTAGCAATGAGTTCTTAGGAGGCAACTTCATGTCACAGTCACTGTTGGCTTCCTGCTGTTGACAAAGAGGAACATCTGTACTCATTGGACTCATAGGCTCAAGAGCAATTTCTGTATGCATACTTTCTTGGGATGTTTTGGTCTTCAAGATATTTTTATTTCTGAAGAAAAGAATGAAAAGAGAACCAAACTTAGTGTGGTAAGTGAAAGTTCTGAAACGCTTTGTTTCTTTATGCTTACTCCTTTATGACAGAACGAACAGTGAATATTGTGTACCAGAATGAAACTCCAATTTCTGCTCCAAGATAAAAATTATGTCAATGATAGAGACAATGCCTATGCAGAAATTTACAATGTATATGCAGTGGAAGATTGAGTTTGCTGTGGCCCACCTGACCTTTCATGCAATAGATTTCATTTTTATATACCCATGGGGAGTCTGATCTGCACCCTCAAAGGGAAGATGGGATGGACTGGGCCTATACATTTTGGTTCTACACAAGCTACGCCCCTATGCAAACATTAAATCCAACAGATGGATACCAAATGGAACTGGGGACAGATTAAGTATACTGAGGGTGGGGCAGAGAAGAATAGGCTGTTGAGTATTGTGAATCCATCTTTCATATATCTTTATTCTAAAAGCCTGGCAAGCCATTCCGAAGTTCACTATGCTTGCTTAGACAAATATGCCTTTGGAACCGATCACACCTGCATGAACAGCCATTTTACAGTCTCTCATGGAATATTCTCAGTGGAATAATTAAAACTTTTTTGGCCCAAGGCCATGTATACTTCCACAGTATTTGAACATTTTAATTGCCAAGCCATCTTAGTTCTGTCTTATTTTGAATCAGTTGCTTGTTTTGAATCAGTTGCTGATTCTTGTCTTTAGGGATCAGTTCCAGTAAGGCTTGGGGGCAACTTGGCTGATGGATCCTGTTAGTTCTAGTTCACTGGGGAAAATATTTATGAACCAGTTTGTGCTTAGATTCAGTTTGATTCTGTCCATAAGTGAACCATGCACATGCAAAAATATGAAGAGTCTTCAACTGAAGTAAGCAGTTGAAGAAATGATAATGTGAAAATTCATATGAGCAGATAAATTGTCCATGGAAATGCACTGCTTAGAGTTTCAAAAACAGAATTGAAAATATAACTCTGCCTATTTTTTCACATAATATATATGGTCATCCTCCGGTAATGAAAAAGAATATCAAGAAAGAGATACCTGCTTGAAGTCGTGTGTGCATTCAAGTTACTTTCCCGGAACCCTTGTATCACCTGACTTAGACACTCACCTGTCATCTTCCACATCTTCGATAGTCTCTGGCAACTGGATGTTGGTAGTTTCTGTTAGCAGAAAGGCCACCATTCCAGACAACACTGCCACTGTACTGAATATCACAGGTGGGAGGTATCTCCAGGTATCATCCAATAACATGATCATAGGAGCTAAGGAGCTGGCAATCCGTGCCACAAATGAACAGCAGCCAATGCCACTTTGCCTGCCAAGAGAAGAGGGACCAATGTAACTATGTGAGAAAAGCCTCCTCCTTTGGAGTCACACCCACCAGTGGTTTGAACTTGGTCTTCTTACCTAGTTCTTAAGCTCTCCCCCTGCACTGGCCAGACTGGCTTCCAGTGTATATGAATCAGAGTGTGGGACCATCTCTCTCTCCTCCCAACCTTCAAATCACTCCTAAATACTCACATTTTAAGTGACCATTTGGCATAACCCTTTCGCTCTCATTCTTTAATATACATAATACATATTCTTTAATATACGTAAGCTTTAATATACATAATTACATTTGCACACAATCATGCCTTGGTGTCGTTTTTCCTGCTCTCTTCTCATTGCTGAATTTTTAATTGTAAGGTTATTGGGATAGGGAGGAATCTCTCTGAAAAGTATGTACCTTGATGGGGAAGGAAAAAGAGAAAGAACAAGGAAGGAGCAGCACCTGCCCCCTTAAGGCCATGCAAGAACAGCATACCCAAATCTAACAGCCAAGCCAAAGAAATCCCGGGAGGTTCCTGATTGAATATTCCCAGCATTAAAAGGAAAAGGAAAGAAAGAACAGCTACACAATGCCTAGATCTGTACTGAGGCAGAGGGTATATGTGGGAGTGGGTTTAATTCTTCCTACCCCTGTATGACACTGCTGATCAAAACTGAATTCTCCCCCACTGTTTAGCTCCAGGAGGGAAAAAGGCAAAGAGAGGATAATGGTCTTTTTCAGGAAACCCCTCCTCCCTTTTATTCCTCCCCCCCACCCCCGCATTCACAGCTTGATAACAGCTCTGGGAAAGGTGAGTTTTGTTCTGTAAAACCACCTGGAGGGGAGGAGTTAAATCCTCTTGTCTTTGTGCCGTGACCCCAATACAGTCAGGTGCCCCACACAGCTGCTATTCCCTTTTATTTAAATGCTGAGACAGATCTAATTAAAAAAAAATATCTTCCAGTATCTCATCTAGTTAGATCCAAAGAGAAGAAACTAGAGGGGAAAATGAGACACCTCCCCCAGTTTGGCATGCTCTGCCTTCATTCAATGTAAAGCCTGTTTTCAGGACATCTCATCACATACTGTTTGTCATGTCCTGTAGCTGTGCATCCCCCCCCCGCCCCCATGGCTGCATTTGTGTGTAAATGCCATATGTTTGCCAGATTCACCCATTAGATTACCAACATGCAAAAAATGGCAATAACATTTCCATGATCGAAGGTTGGCAAGTAGTTAAATGGTGACACTGGATTTGTAGTGGTCTTGATTTTCCTATCATGGCCTTGTTTCCTCTGACACAGCGTTGTGGAGGAATGACCCTCTTGGTTGGGCTTGATAATATGAGCTGGTGTAGCACAGTGTCCAGGAAAGGTAACAAGCTGTGATCCAGGAGGTGCAATGGTTTAAATCTCATGTTTGCCATAAACTCACTAAGAGGTAGCCTTAGGCAAGTCATTCTCTTAGTCTCCCATCTGCAATACAGGGGTCATACTACTGTCCTGGATTGTTGTAAAGATTGCTGTGATAATGTACGTGATGTGTTCTGAACATTAGAAGTGCTTTTTAAATTATAACGTGTCATGGTAGCTCATGGGGACCATCAACTGGGCAATTATCTGCTTCAAGAAGCCCTTAAAACCTCTTAGTCCCAAGCTACCTGGAAGGTGTTTGGCAATGCATCAAACTCCCTTGGAAGCCGCATTAAAAACATTTACCTGGTTTGGCTGAAATATGACAAAGAAAATTAATTTGATTTTTTCCATGCTGAGAAACTATTAGATTTGGAAGGTGGAAGACGTGTAAATAAACAGGGTTTTCATAAAGCTATATCCAGAGTTTGCTCCTCCAATGGAAAATGGATGTATCCTGAACTTCTCAGCACCAAAGAAAAGGGGAACACAAAATAGTATATTGCATTATCAGTGTCTTTGTATGGTTTTCCTGTTGCTGCTGCAGCTGCCAATATAGCACAGTGGCAATGGGGCCACTACATGGCAGGTTTCCCTGCATTTTTCCTGCTTCAATCCCCCAGCACCAACAATTCCCCACAACCCCCCCCCAATCAGGAAGGAGTTCTTTTGGGGGGGGGGGTTAATAAAATCTGCATTTGGATATTGTTATATTATTATTATTAGTCTGTCTATCAGGTTATTTTGAATCCCCAGATTCCCTTTTTTATAAAAGAACTAAGTCCTTATTCCTTTTTCTTGTGGAGATAAAGGGGGAAAGGCATAGCTCCACAATAAAAGATACTAGAGAGTCACTTTGGGGGGGGAAACCAATTTGGAAAATCTGATAGACATATTGTTATTATATTATGACAATATTCAATTGCTAATTTTAAAAAAAAACCTACAAGGGGAATGGCTGCTGCGGGAGACTGGGCCAAGGAAAATAACATCTAAGTAGCTGAGACCAGGAAGATCCAGACTTTACTGTCCACATGGGTGCTACCTTGGCTTTGCGGTAATCTTTCACAAAACACTGCAGCAAAGCAGGTTTGGGAAAGGTCACCAAAAAAAGCAGTGAAAACTCAGGAGGTATACAGAAGTTGCTGTGTGGGGGGGGAACCTGTGTAGGGGGGAGAATCCTAGCATACAAGCTAGGGCAAACAACCCAATGTGTAACTTACCATCATAGTGCATGTTCATGCTCATTGCAGACTTTCAAATGACTGTTCCACACATGCAATATATTACAAAATGTAGCATGAAAAGAGACACCCCCCCCCAAGATCCCAAGTAACTGAGAAAGTGGGTTTAGTTTCCTTCTGTCCCTGCCATTCTTCAGTATGTGATCTCTTGGTTTGATTAAGGAGCTGAGGCCCTTACCTGAGTACAGTAGGGTAAAGTTCAGCTGTATATAGGAAGACCGTAGTGAAAGAAGCTTCAGAGAAACCCTTCCCCAATATGGCCACAGCAGATCGGACATGTCCATGCTCTGACAAAGGAAAGTAAAAGGAGTGTGGTACCCAGTGTCAGTATAAGCAAACAAGATACATAAAGACAGGCCAAAAATATAACAATAGTGGTAGTTAACAATACATAAGTTTCTGTAAACAATTTCCAAATATCTAAAAATAAGTCCATATGCAATTGTGTATATATGCCATGTGTTCAAATGATAATAGAGTTCTAAGGTCCTCAGTCCATTGATTTACTGGAAGTGGGCTTCTATCTTACCAATGTTGTAATATGAGTAAGACATGTAATATGAGTAAGGGCATGGAGGGTCCATTTTTGTTGACCAACAGTTAGCCTTCAAGAGATGAGCAGATCTTTTAAAAGTATATAAGCATCAATGAACGTTCTAATACAAAACTGATATGAGTAATAACTTCTACCCTGAAAAAACAAATGACATGCCCAAAGCATATGTTTAAGGGACATGGCCTGTAAATTACAAAACCAACAATTAGTCACTTTACTCAGTCCTTTGCTAAAGAGTTGCTGTGGAGTCCAGAATATCCTAAACATAATTTTTTACTGAATAAGTCTCAACAAGATCCATAGAGATAGTAGGTACAGACTTTAAGGCGATATCCCATTGCTTTGGCAAAATAGGGCAATCTAACTCCTTATTTCATTTGTTTCTGAGACTCCATATATCATATTTATTAATTGACATGATTTTTTTTCTTTTTTCTTTTTTTTTTTAAAAAAAATCTTATTTTGTTGCTGGATTTTAAGTTCCCCCTCCCTTGTTTTTTTCTGTTTTTGTTAAAAGAATGTTTTTAAAAAAGTCAGTACAATAAACCTTACAGACTAACAAAATCTTATTCCAGCATCAGTCTTCATATACCAAAGCCTACTTCTTCAGATGCTATGAGTGAACACTCACTTTGCATTCATTTTATGGTGGAGGGTTTGTTTGTTTTTTGTTTTTTTAAAAGGTAGGGTCAAGGGATCATGAAATTCAGGAAGTACAGAAGAGAATATAATTATGTAAAATGTAGATCTAATCAGAAGGAAATACAGAGATCATTTATTAGGCATGCTAGGATTGCCAAGTCAACTCACCCCTTGGAGCGGGGGAGCCTTGCCAGCGTAAATACAGAGATCATTTATTAGGCATGTTAAGCTTGGTAACACCTGTGATGGGTGAGGAATCATAGATTTTAAGACAGTCACCGTTACAGTGAGATAAGAATCCTAATTCTCCATTCAACCTAGAGGGGAGGTAATGTGAAACTTTTAAATACTGACTGGTCCTTCCTGAAGGCTGCCTCCCCATCTTCCTGTACGTAAGGCTTGAGGAAATTCTGTTTCACTGTATGCTTGCTTGCAAAAGCTTATACCTTGAAGAAAACTTTGTTGGTCTTGAAGGTGCCACTGGACTCAAACCTTGTTCTGCTGCTTCAGACCAAGACGGCTGCCCCACCTGAATCTATCCCAGTCCAGCAGTTACTCAAAGGCTTGGTTGAGCTGAGTCTTGGGATTCTTATCTCACTCAACACACAGAAAGGAGGGATGGAAGAGAGAATGGAACATACAAATAAGGGGAGTGGAGAAGGACCAGAAGGGTAAATCATAAGAGGGGTGACTAGGCTGTATTTGCAATCTTAGTTAAGGATGTGCATCTGTTTTATTTTGACTCAGGGATATCCAAAATGGCAAAAGGCACCCCTGAAATTTCAGGATTTCTGACATTTATAGCCTGGAATTTGAAGATATTTTTTTTTCCTGGTCAGTTTGGCTTCCACTGGAATCAATGTAGGTAGACCTTGCAGCTGAGTCCAGATTCCAAGTCTACCACCACTGTTTTCAATCAGTGGCAGGTAGAAAAAAGGAAGGGGGGGGAAACATAACCCAACAAAATTGAATCAAGAACCTAAAAGGTAAGTTACAAAACAAAAGCAGGGCCAAAAGCTAAGACGAAGTATGAACTAATTGTACATAAAAATACATGTATTTCTTACAAAGACATTTAAAAGCATTTCAGGGCCCAACACGAGCCTCACAATATAGTTAAAAGTAGCATGTGTCCAAGAGAAAACAATAGTGACCTAATGCATTTTGACCCAGTTGGGCCTTCTTCAGAGGTCAAACAATGGAAGGTACAAATACAGTCCCATTACAATCAAAAGGCAATGCTCAAGTAGATATAGGACCAAAACAGGAGTGCTGTTAAGGAAGAAAATGTTGATTCAATCAGCGGCAGACCGGGTCTCCAGTCTTTAAATGTCAGGTCTACCAATCATTGAAAATTGTGGCAGTCCACCTGGCCTCTGAAGTCTGGATGCCAGGTCTACTTCCCATTGACAACTATTGTGGCAGACCTTGCCTCCAGCTGGGCTACCCAGTATTTCCAAACCTGAAGCAGTATGAATACTCCCAAAATTTCAGGATAATGATATTCATGCCCTTTCTGAAAAACTAAAATTAAATTAAATTAAACTGAAAAGTGCACACCCCTAATCTTGGTCTTCTAGTAATGGCTTAAAATTAGTTATGGATATCGGAGGGTTCAGCATAATGTTGGCACAAACTTGTTGATTCTTAGCTGATCCATTTGTAAGGCTACTCCCCCCCCCCTTTTTTTCTTCAGGAAATTTTTGTGTTTGCATATACTTCAGTCTTGCAACCAAATTACACCTGCTCAAGTTCTATTGATTCTCTGCAGGTATATAACTGGTCGCAAGACTGCATTTCTATTCAAATTTGCATTGATGATTTTCCTTCTTCCTTCACCTGCAAAGAAAATGGGACAACAGATGAAGCTAGGACTAAACACCTGAAGGCACTACAAAACTGTCAAGGTGAGCCTCCCACCTGCAGGGATGCATGAATTTAGTGCAATGAGGAATCCAGTCGCAATCAGAGTCCATGCCTGACAGTGCCTGCGGCCAATGCGATCTAAGACAAAATAGACGCACACTTTGGCAGGGATCTCAATGGCCCCAAACATAAACTGCGTCATGTATGGATCCAAGCTGAAACCACTGATATTTAGAGTGATGCCGTAGTATGTGAATGATACACCAAACCTGCAAAGCAAACAGAAGGTTCAGCAAACATTAATCGAATCAAAGAGAATCATGTCTAGGCATTTGCACAGCGAATAGCTAAAGGTGCTTGTTGAATGGGCACTGATTGGTAGAAGATCATTGTTTGAACGAGTAGCATTAATAGCCTATGATGGCTGATGGCCACCTACAAGTAGACATACATACCAGCCAGGATGAGAACCAAGAACGGAGTAAGATGACAGTAAGGTGTCAATGAGATGATGTGTATGACGTGAGTCTGGTTAGGGAATCCCCATCCTGACTTGTGTCAAATCTAACACCAGCAAAATAATATTCCCAAGTGCTGCAGGGCCAGATTCAGCAATGGAGGGGACTGTTTATCCCTCTGTGGGGCTCCAGGTGTAGTGACCGCAGCACGTGGTGTCCCCCACGGCCCCTTCAGCTTGGAAAAACAGTTTGGGAGGAAAGTCTGAAGCTCCTCCTCTCCCCATGCTGTGCTTGTGAGCTGACTCCACCCCTGCAGCATTTGGTGTTACCTGTGATAGAAGTCAGGTTAGCCCCCACCCCAACTTGTGTCATATGGATTGCCTAGTTGTGCCCTCAGGCAGAAAGATTTCCACAAATGGAATAGGGAGGTGAATTTCAGCCATTTGCCCCCACCCACTGCAGACCTCCAATTTCTTTCTCATGCTGTTCCTTAGAGTTCCCTTTATCCCAGGTATAGCGTTTCAGGGGGCACTGGGGTGGCAGAAGGAGGAGGGAACTGGTGTTCTGAGGATGGAAGTCCCTGTGGAAATCTCTGCCTGTTCAAAGGCTAATTTTTATTTACTCTTAAAAGATACCATCATTAGCTTTGTTCACTGGTGATTAGTACGTTATCTAATTCTCTCGCAAAGAGGGAAGGGAACCCTTTGCAGTCCCAGCAGCACCCACCCATTCCTGGCTGCTACCAAGCAAGGTCAAGCTTGGCTGATGTATGTATATAGTGAGATAGACTAGGTTTCCTAACCACCATCACTTCCCTGCGAAACGTGTCAGTTTCTCCCTACTAGCTGCAGAAACAGGGAAACATCTCTTGATACAGATGCGTCTAAAAAAAGGTTAATGGTGGTGGCAGTGGAAGAGGAAGTGTTGCTATGACTTTAAAGGGTTGGAGTGAAAGGATCACACACATATACCCAAAATGTCACTGATCTTCCACCACCCCCCAACCCCAAGGGAGACAATAACATCGAAATTAGTTCACACCCAAAGGAATGTGCTGCAAATGCGATAAAGGTTTTGCAAATCACAATAGATCAGCACCAAAAAAAATGATATGACAACAGAGAACTATGGAATTGCCTTGGTTTGCATGCTCCAAAAAAATGATATGACAACAAACTATGGAATTGCCTTGGTTTGCATGCTGTGTTGGATATAAAAATTCACCTCTTTTGTACATGAGAACAAGGCAGATGATAAACAAAGAGGGTTGCCCCGTTGTATCTAGTTTGCCCATAGCTACACACGCACACACCCCTATATATGAGAAAGCCCTTCCCGATAAAAATAAATACATACATTTGCATTCTAATTCCCCCCTGCAATTAGATGTAACAGCTTCTGAGAAATGATCTGGCCCCCTTCTCTTAGAAATGCTGGAAATAATTACAGTCCTCTAATCATATCATATCTCAGAACCCATACCATACAGTAGCAGAACAAAGTGTAATCTTCCTCAGTTTAGACGTCTTCAGCAAGTGCCAGTAGAAGTAGTTCCGTGACTCATCTGTAATCACTGTCTTCTGCAGGATCTACAATTGCAGCCAATGGTGCAGCAGAGAAAAGGAAAGGGAAAATACCTCTCTGAGTCTTGTGCTCCACTTTACTTAGACTAGATCCCATCTGTTATGTATTGTCTTATGTAGATAGCCTGAATGAAGAATGAGGCTGAGCTTCAGTCACAAGCTTCATAGACTCTCAGTATCCTAAAATCAACAACCTGATTGGCTGCTGTTGTGGAACGGACCAATCAAGAAAGACTATGACTTTCAGTGGGAAGAAACCCTATTGGTCTTAAGCGCTCACTCACACTACCTACCCACAATATTCATGTGTAACATACTGCACAAGTATTGCACTCACACACACTCATTGCAACAACTGAGCAGCACTTTGCAAGTGCTGCCATCTCTTCCAATGTTCCCACATTTCTCAACATATTACATTAATATAGTAAAAGTGTATTAGTCATTGCCTGTGGCCATGGCATTCATGAATCAATTGCTAATCATTAATTCTTATTCCTGGAGGAGGGGAGGTCCATAAATACTGTCTTCCTCTTGCAGTCAAAACAATTCATCAAGTAAGAAAATGTACTATAATTAGCAGAGCATTTTCAAAATTAAGTTAATAAAAGTCATATCAATGAGCAACGGCTTTGAGTGTAAAAAGAAAACAAATACTTAAGCCTAAATAGCACCCCTTCCTTGTTTAGAGGTTGTTCTTCCTTCAGCTTTGAAGACTGGGTTCTTTTTAGGTGTTCACTCACTTCCATGGTTATCTTGGAGTGGAAGTCCTTCTTGCCATTGACTTTGGCACATCTAGAAAGGTAGGAGTGTGCTGACTCCACCTCCTTCTTCGTCAGAAGCCACCGGGCAGATTCTGGGAGCCACCTGATCAGGGACAGAAAAGAAACTTTGAATACTGTATCCTGGGCAATTTACACATTAATATTTGCAAGAAGGGTGCACATCTGAAACATGCAAATCTTTCACGTGCATATTCCTCTTTGGGCATTCCAGCTGCACCACAGGTTTTAGAAGTGCAAGGCACTTGTGCTCTCAGATGGCGTTGGGTTCCCTAGTGTTTGTTATTGCTTCTAGACAATGGGCAGAGGTTGGAGAGTCAGACTAGGATCTGGCAGGTCCAGGTTCAGATCCCCACTGAGCCATGGAACCTTGCTGGGTGACCTTGGGCTTGTCACACACTCTCAGATCAGCCTACCTCACAGGGTGGCTGTGGAGATAAAATGAAAGGGGGAGAATGATGTCATCCACTTTGGGTCCCCACTGGGGAGAAAGCTGGCATATGAATGAATGAATGAATGAATGAATGAATGAATGAATGCTGAAATGAGCTAATCATATGGCAACAAGCATGCCTCTGCCACCAAGTAAACAAGACTGACTATTGCAGTACTTGCAGAAGAAGAAATAAATACAGTTCAAAGATTACAATGTGTGAGGACTGGTATATCAGAAGGAATCGCAAAGACAGGAATCTGGATGTGGTCCTGTTTCAAGAGATTCTTCTTCAATATACAAATAGACAAAAATATTGTTCAGACTTCCTATAAAGAATACAGTATGTAACCAAAGCATTAAAGCCAGATATTATTTGACCAGGAGGGTCATGGAGTATAAAAAGGAAGAAGCTGGGAAAGACTGAGAGAGGACAACATGGGCTGGCAATAGAGGGAAACGTCTGAAGTTCATGGTGGGTATTAAGATTTAGAAGAGTTCCACATTCACTCACCACCAAATGACAATACTGAGGAGGCAGGGAGATGTAACAGCTAGCAGGAGCCAACGCCAACTTCGGATCAGATAAGCCAGCAGTGCCAAGATCATGTATCCAACAGACCAGGAAATGCCACTGATGGTGCCACAGAAGGTGCGATGCTTGATGTCTGTCCACTCTACAGCTGAAAGTTAACAACAGATCAGCATACACCTTTGGGATTCAGTTCAACCTTTATGCGGGTTGTTCCATTGTTGACTACAGCAAAGAGAGTGACTCAGGAGCCAGCACTTCATTCCATGCTTGACAAAGTATTGTCCTATCGTGGAGCAATAGATTCAGGATGCACAAAAGGAAATACTTCTTTACTGGACCAGTAATTAAATTGTGGAATTCACTGCCAGAGGACATAGTGATGGCTATGGGCATCGATGGTTTTAAAAAGGGGTTAGAAAGATTCTTGGAGGATAGCCTATCAATGGCTACCAGGCTTGGAGGCTAATGGGAATCTCCACATCCAGAATCAGTAAACTTCTGAAACCCAGTGCAAGGAGGCAACATCAGGGGAAGCTCCTGGCCTCTTTGTTGGCCCTCCAGGGCAACTGGATAGCTGCCGTGACAAACAAGATGCGGGACTAAATAAGCCCACGTCTGATCCAACAGGGCTTGGGGAGGGGCTGTGGCTCAATAATAGAGCATCTGCTTGGCATGCAGAAGGTCCCATGTTCAATCCCCATCATCTCCAGTAAGGATCAGGTTGTGGGTGATGTGAAGGGCCTCAGGCTGAGACCCTGGAGAGCTGCTGCCAGTCTGAGAAGACAATACAGACTTTGTCATCTGATTCAGTATAAGGCAGCTTCGTGTGTTCATGTGTTCTTATATTCTCATGTTAACTAATCAAAAATCCTTCCATATGGCCAGTCAAAGAGTCCCTGAACCCATTGGGCAGGGGGGACTGTATTGCTTGCCATTGATACATCAGCAGATAACCTCTGACTCATGCTTGTGACACTTGTGCAACAACACAGAAATCACAATAGCAATGGATACCCTATTTGGTAAAGCAACAAACACATTTTTAAGCAAATGAACATATACAGCATATGCACAACAGTAGGTGCTAAATGTACAAGGCAGGTTGAAATGCCTTGAAATCAGGTTGACAGCTGATGTGTGGATAGAGAGTAGGAAGAGCAGAAGAACATCTGACAGATACCAACAACCCCCAGCCACTGAGCGAATGCTCAGGTGCTTCCTGGATTCACTTCTCATTCGGGATGTCTCACCTAAGATCAAGGAGATGATAGATATGCCTGTGAGCCCCACCCCACAGAGTGACCTCATGACAATGAACATCAGGTAGGACACTGAAAAAGCAGTCATGATTCCAAAGAACAGCGTGACAGCAAAAGCGAGCAGAAGAATCCTCCTCCGGCCAAATCTGGGGGGGATCAAACCAGAACACTGTTACCATTATTCTTCCTGAGAGCATAATACAAGAATAGCATAAGAAGTGCCTTGCTGGACCAGGCCAAAACATTTTAATCTTCACTGCACCATTCTCACCATTCTTGTCAGGCTCCTTTCGCACCAAGCTCTGCTACAAACTGCAACCGGAGCCTGAAGGTTCACTGACATGGCCAACCAGGAGAGAAATGGCTAGGAAAATGGAAGCTGAAAACTGTTGTCAGGGCTACAACAGGCCAGACACGGGAGACGGTGTGCTGTGTATTGATAAATGCTTTTGTTACTCGATAGCAGTCACGTTCCAGATAGCACGCCAAATCATAGTGCCCCACAAGCTAAGGAAATATGTATAGCAAAGGTATGAGTAATTGAGTGGAGAGAAAAAGAATGAGACGTCTGAATCCAGTGTAACCACTGACTACCATAAGCACATTTGTAGGGCTGCGAGCATCAAGTAAGACCCCACTGGTTTACTTGAGGCATCTCAAGCTATTTATTAAGGATGTAAAGAGAAAAAGTAGCATTTCCTTGCTGTGTTCAAACATTAACATCTAACCCACTTTATCCTTCCCAATATGAATCAACAGTGACTTCTTGTGGATAAATAAACTCACCACAAGCCATCAGAAGATGCAGTTCAATATGCTTAAGGCCAAACCCTAACAGGAGATCTGTGAATGGATTCTCTGAACTTGTTAAATACTGGAAACTGCAACTGTGGGAGTCCTGATTTGGAGCAGGGCAGTGCAGTGGGACAAGCACACCATTCCCCCCAGTATCAACCTTTCCTCTTGAGCTACTATTTGATCCACAGGGGGAAAAGACAGCGACCGATGGGGTGCATGCATACTCCCCTCACACAGGGCAAACAGAGCCTTAAGATGCTGGAGTGATTGAGACAGGGGAAATGGTAGAGAGGGAAAGGTTAGTCCCTGTGATCCAAAATAGAGCCTTCATAGTTGCTATTTACTCTTCTGTAAAGCACCAGAGATCCCTTCCTACCTGGAGGTGAAACAGTTATAGGACTGCCAGCTCTGGGTCGGGTAATTCCTGGAGATTTGGGGGTGGAGCCCGAGGACAGTGGGGTTTGTGGAGGGTAGGGGCCTCTGGGAGGGCATAATGCCATACAGTCCATCCTGCAAAGCAGCCACTTTTCCCCAGAGGAACTGATGTTTGGAGATGATTTATAATTCTGGGAGGTTTCCAGGCCTCACCTGGAAACTGGCAACCCTAAACAAGTAGGCGTGGCTTGGAGTGAGTTGAGCCAAAACAATGTATCGTGGGAGTGGCTTGGCAACATCAGTAGGACCTGTAGCACCTTCAGTTTTGGGCAGCAGCAGCAGCAGACATTTCTAGTCTTAGAAATGTCAGAAATCTGAAATCTCATTAGTCATCTGCTGCAACTTCAGCATTTGGAAGGAGTGGTGAGCATTTGGGTGGGAGAACACCAAGGAAGTCCAGGGTTACTGTGTGGAGACAGGCAATGGCAATCCCCCCTCTGTCTCTTGCCTTGAAAGCCCTACAGGGTTGTCATACATTACTGCAACCTGACGGCACTTTCCACCACCATATGTCACATTGGATGTGCTTTTGTTATTATGTTATTATCTGCCCCAACATTAGGCAACAAATCAAGTTAGGAATATAAACAAATGCTCACCTGTCAGACAAGTAGCCAAAGAGTACAGATCCAAGGGTAACCCCAATAAAGAAGAAGGTAGCAATAGCTTGGTTTAGGCTTTTCTTCTCACACACCAGGTCCCACTGGAACATTAGAACCAATAATATCAAAGCCTAGACTGGCAAACTCTAGCTTTCCTCTAGTCAAAGCTGAGGCATATTATGTGCCTCCATGCTCCTGATCTATAGAGCTGATCATGGAGGACTATAAAAGGCAGATGTAGGCCTACACAGTTCGTGACCGAAGTAGGTCAAAATGACTGTAGCTTTAAGGAACCTCCTAGTTTTACTGCCTGCCTGGCACTATGACAATTAATCTAGATTGAGTCCCCTGGCAAGTCACAAAGGCTGCCTTCAGCTGAGTGGTACAGGTTGTGCAGATAAGCAAATTATTAAAGGTAAGGAACATGTGGAGGTAGCTTTATGCAGCTAAACTTTACAAAAGGCAGTCACTGTCCTCCTTTTAATGAGTATATCCATGCCATCAATTGATATCTAGAATATGCAGTGCTCATGTGAAAACTCTCCATATATTAAGGGATCTTTTATGTATTGGCAGGGTTTTTTTTTACATATTGTGGCTGTCATATGATGCCACTGCCATACAGAAGCATATCTAGCAAATTTCATAGTGGTCATAAGAACCTGCACTAATTGTCGCAAACTTTTAGGATCTATTTGAACAGTAGGATCTCCACTTTTCAACTTGGTGGTTTACCATGAAGGAAAACCCCCTAAAGTTCTTTCAGAATCACTGTTAAGATGCTCTACCACTGTGGCGTCCCCAAATTCACATGTTACAAAATTAAAAACTCATTAGCAATTGGTTGTCCTCACCTAAGAAGCAAACTATGTTTGCATGCTAGGGTGTGTGTGTGTCATATTTGAGAGTCTGCTGCTACATTTTCCTCCTCCATCAGAATGAATATATATTTGATGTGTAAAAGATTTATTTAATGGCATTTGTAATTTCAATCAAAATGGTTGACTAATGTGGAGCAGCACCTCTAGATAATTACAATCATGTGCAAACATTCTCAGTGAGTGTGTGTGTGTGTGAGAGAGAGAATTTATTTATTTAAAATATATGCCTGCCTTTCTCCCAGACAACTGGGACCAAGGCAGCTAACAGAGATTAACCAATTCAAAGCAACCAACAAATAAGCATAATAAAACATTAATTGTGATTATGGTGACTGGCACAGCCTTCTCAGAGCACCCAGCTCCCACATGTTGGAGGGTCCCTCTGCTCAGTGGCTTATATGCATAGATCCCAAGTCAAGAAGAAGGGGTGGGGTTTTTTGTTGTTGTTGTTTTTGCAGTGTGTACACTACGGAAACAGGTATTCACTAGACACAACTGGGCTCTGTATGATTAGGCCACTGGGCAGGCATGTGCTCCAGGAGCATAAAGGGTGCAGTCACAAGCCTCTCACTCCCTGTGCGTAGGAAATGTTGTTTGCAAAGGGCTTAGCCTCTTCTCTTGCTACTGAGTTTACTGCATTGCACTAATTCCTTCCTCTGCAGAACAGACATATGTTCTCTTATTTATTAATTAAGATATTTATAGCTCACTTTCCCAATAAAAACATATCCAAATACAATCGCATAAATAAAACTGTGCAATGAAATCAATCTGACCAAAAATAATTCCCCCCCCCACCAAGGATGAGACAGCAGCAGACAAATGAGAAAGCAAAAATATAACCCTAGAGGCATACAGAACTGAGCAGAATCCGATAAGGCCACAATCAGAAGCAGAGGGCAAATCCAACAAAAAGAATCAACGTTCTGCCACAAAGAAGGGAAACGTTTGATCAAGACACTAGTTCAAATCTCTTCTCAGAGTGAATGATGTGTGTTGCATTTGATCATTAATGTCATAAACATGTATCTTAATGGCTAATAAACTTGCCCGTATCTACTTAAAATGCACAATTATTTATATTTGGGTTAATATGTGACAACAGTGCTTTTCTATAGCTAATGCAGTGGCATGGGTTCTCTTATTTATTAATTAAGATATTTATAGCTCACTTTCCCAATAAAAACATATCCAAATACAATCGCATAAATAAAACTGTGCAATGAAATCACTCTGGCCAAAAATAATCCCCCCCCCCAAAGGATGAGACAGCAGCAGACAAATGAGAAAGCAAAAATATAACCCCAGAGGCATACAGAACAGAGCAGAATCCGATAAGGCCACAAGCAGAAGCAGAGGGCAAATCCAACAAAAAGGATCAACGTTCTTCCACAAAGAAGTGAAACGTCTGATCAAGGCACTAGTTCAAATCTCTTCTCTGAGTGAATGTTGTTTGTTGCAGCTGATCATTAATGTAATAAACATGTATCTTAATGGCTAATAAACTTGCCCGTATCTACTTAAAATGCACAATTATTTATATTTGGGTTAATATGTGACAACAGTGCTTTTTCTGTAGCTAATGCAGTGGCATGGGTTCTCTTGAGTTCACAAAAAAAACGGCTTTCAGCACAAGAAACTGACAGTGCAATCCTAAACAAAGTTAAACCCTTCTCATTCCATTGAAGGGAGGTGTGTAACTCTGTTTAGGATTGCACTGTAGATATATGTTAATGGGGTCTGAACTTGCTGACACACAGATGGGGAAAGACCTTGGGTTCATAGTGGCTAGCTCAATTAAAGTGCCAACCCAGAGTGTGTTAGGGATTATTACGAAAGGAATCGAACTTAAAACAGCCAATACTCTACTGCCCCTGTATATGGTCTATGGTGCAGCCTCATCTGGAATACTGTGTGCAGTTTTGGTCACTATATTTCAAAAAAGATATCACAGAGCTGGACAAAGTACCGAGGAGGGCAACCCAGATGATTAGGGGGTTGGAGCAGTGTTCCCTCTAAGCTGAGTTAGTGTGAGCTAGCTCACAGTTTTTTAGCCTCCGGCTCAAACATTCTTGACTTAGCTCAGGAAGGATGGCTCCGGAGCAAACTAATTTATGCAGTAGCCAAATCGCTGGCTCACAACCTTCATGCCAGTAGCTCACAGAGTAGAATTTTTGCTCACAAGATTCCACAGCTTAGAGGGAGCATTGGGTTGGAGCACCTTCCCTATGAGGAAAGGCTGAAGAGTCTGGGACTTTTCAGTTTAGAAGAGAGATGACTAAGGGGGGACATGATAGAGGTTTATAACATTATGCATGAGGTGGAGAGAGTTGACAAAGAGAGCCTTTTCTCTCTCTCCCAAAATACTAGAACTTGAAGGCATCAAATGAAGCTGATGGGCAGTAGATTTAGGACAGACAAATGGAAATACTACTTTACACAGAGAGTGATTAAAATGTGGGATTTGCTGCCAGAGGATATAGTGATGGCCAGAGGAATATGTCTGTCAGTGGCTACTAGCCATGGTGACTGAGGGGAACTTCCACATTCAGAGGCAGTCAGCCTCTAAATCCCAGAGCCAAGAGGTAACATCAGGGAAGGTCTCAGCCTCTATGCCCTGTTGTTGGCCCTCCAAAGGAACTGGTTGGCCACTGTGTCAGACATGGATGCTGGACTAGACGGACCACTGGTGTGGTCCAGCAGGGCTCTTCTTAAGTTCTTATGCCAAAGAAGTAAGGATCATCTGATAGTAAGACTGGTAACAATACACTTTCCCCTTTTTAACTGCCTACTGAGCACTGCATTCCCAAGGTACCCAGGGTACCTAGGAACCCTCTTCATTCATAATTGCCTATGTTCTTTTTATTCCCTTTGAAATTGCCTGTTTTGAGAGTTTTATTTCTTAACTTTAATTTATTCAAACACTAGGAGTAAGGCTCATTGTGGGAAGGAAGCTCCAGGTGAGTGTCTCGGCTGTGGCTGGTGAGGTGGCAGAGGGAAGGGGAAAATAGAGGGAGGCAAGCTATTTTTATTTCCTTCTGTTTAGCTATAAGGCAGGGATGTCTCAAGTCATTTTGCTGCCCCAAGTGGGTAGTATGGGAGGACAGCCTCATGGTAACAGGTATGATTCCCTCCACCCCTGACTTATGTTATTTTGCCGTGTGATGGAGTGAGCTCCCGTCTCTGGTCCCAGCTCCTGCCAGCAGGGTATAATGCCATAGGGTCCACTGGCCAAAGCAGCCATTGTCTCCAGGAGAACTGATCTTGGTCATCTGGACATCAGTTGTAATAGCTGGGAAATCTTCTGTAGGGGAAATGATGTGCTGTGGCTGGGGAGATCTCCAGGCCCTACAGGGAGATTGGGATATGTATTTTACCTCAGGACTCCCAACAACAACAGCAGACTATTTAGAATGTTAGAGGCAAAGGCTAATCAGGCCACATATGCAAATGACCTCTGTGTTCTGACTGGCTGTGGGGGAGAGAGGAACAGTAAACTTTATAATGTTGGAGGCAGGACTAAGGCAACACAGCCAGTGGATAGGGAGACCTTCTGAATGACAGATCATTCAGCCAACTGATTTTGGAGCGTGTTAGAATGTTCAGGGGAGTCCATGACCAAAACAGAATTATATATAAGGAGATTTCTAGTCCTCATGGTTGAGAAAGTTCTCAGAGACTGGCACCAAATGGATTTTTGACATTCATTCCCAGGAAACCAGGAGAAAGAGGGAATTTCTTTAGTAAGTGGCCCTTTCCACACTAGACCTTTATTCAATGCTTTCTCCTTCTAACTATTCTGCACTACACTTGAGTTCACCCATCATTTTATCCTGTTTTGTTTTTTTGTCAATTCTGCATTACATTGTGGTCACCCTGGGCTTGGACCACCGTTGACCCGGGGTAGATGGATCCTGTTTAATCATAGGCTTTCCCTCGATCCAGAGTGGCCCTGGTGCAGATTTAAGTGTAGAATTTTTAACTTGGTTTCAATCCTCCCTGCCCCTTTCCTGCCATCTAGGACAGACACCCCTGTTCGCAATGCAGAATTTATAACCAGGGCAGGCAAGCAAATTGGAGTGGGACAAAATTAGTGCAGAAAACAACAGATAAACAGAGATAACAGCAAGGTAAACACAGAGAAAACCCAGGGTGAGGTCCAAGTGCAGAAAGGGTCAGTATCAACCAACTCCTGCTCTGTCATGCTATAGAAGGCAGGAGGCAGTTGAGAGGTAGCTTTCTGATTATACTTTTGCGCAGTTTGGATTCTGTTCTGAACTGGAATTTTTGTATTATACAAAAGGAGTAGACAGAACACTCACTGTGCATTACACATTCATTTATCTATTCTCTCACAAGTATCTGATTTTTTGGCACATTAGATGATTAACAGTTTAAAAGACACTGTTTTATGGCACATTGAGACAAAACCAAAATTGCATAGTGGAAAACCCACTCATCATCCTGTCGGCATATTAGATTTTGTAACTGGTTTTTGAAACAGTGAAATAGATTATAGAGACGTTCTATGAATGTGTTAATCCAAATTTCTACAGAAATTGTGCAAATGTAGCAAATTTGCATATTACCCCTGTAACTGTTTTGCATAATTTATTTTGGTTTTGCTGATCATGGCAGGGGACAAGAAACTACACAAGCACTAAAGTCTACAACTACAGATAATCTTGATCAGGCAGATTGCTTCGGTGATTTTTGCAGGCGTAACCCACCCACCCCCCTTCAACCACGAGGGCTGAAAACTTGTCTGTTTTTTGTTTTGTTTTTTTGTTCCAGTTTGGTTTTGTCTTTAGAAAGCCAAATTCTGTGCCTAGTGCTACTATCTGCACTTTTTAAAAAGTTCCCTCAAAACTGTAACATACAAAGAGCCTATGTGCTAATTAGCCAAGACTTTAGGAGATCAGCCTGTGTTGAGAATTCTATAGTCTATAATTCTATAGTCCCATTTGTTAAAAAATTCAACAGGTTGGGGACAATTGCTCAACTTGTTCCAGTGCCATCCCTGGCTGGCAATTCATCCTGCCTGAGTTTCAGTATTTTACTTGCAAAAGGGAAATAGGCATTCTACTCTGATCTCATTGGGTTGGAGCCACTCAGTCTTGCCCAATTCCCTTTCTTACTACAGTCTCCTTCACACGTAGCTTTTGTTCATGCAGGTCCTATGATCTCAGCACAGTATTTTAAGTAGTCAGAGGGGACCCTTCCTTCCTTTCTCACAAACAGAAAAGCTGATTGGATCCAAACCATTGGGAGGTGTTTCAATATATGATATCAGATTGGTGTTTTCTAAAAACCACCCATGGTTTCAAAGGCTTAGGTTTATGTTGTAAATAAGTGTAACAGTATAAAACCTGTCAGTGGTCCTGGTCACACAGAGAATTTGCCTCGGGAGAGGCACGACTGCCAGGCAGACGAAATGGGTGCGATCATACAGAAACATCTGGGAAGCGTGGCCTGCCTGTCCCCAGCCCGTAGCTTACCGCCAAAGATCCAGAGTTAAAAAGTACCACCCATGAGCTACTAGCAAACGGTTTGCCACGGGCCACAGATGGACTGTCTTCGTCTGATCGCCCCAACGTGCTCCTTTTGCCCCGTTGAAGCACTGCAAGAACCACGCGTCGACGAAAACAACGCTGTTTGCCACCGTTGCTTCTGATTGCGTTGCAGTGGCTCAAATTGCAACGGCGCTAATAGCCATGCCTCCTCCCCACATTATCTAGCCCCTGTGACTGGGGCCAGTGAATAGCTATGGAATAACACTGGAAGACTAAGATAACAATTTTGGAAGAAACTGGACCTGTATGTTTTCCAGCTGTCTCCTATAAATAAAGCATTCATTACTATCCTAGTCAGCATGTGACAGCTCGCCCTTTCGCTCCACAACCCCAAAGGAAACACCATGTCTTGTAAACAGGGGTATACCAAATGCTTACCTCAGTAGCTGTGGTTGATACATACTGTGAGTGATCGTAGACCCATCCTTGCTGGCAGCTCTGAATGGATGATGTGTTGTCCATATTCCGGGAAGAATTTACCAGCAAGTGATACTGTGGTCTAGAGAACATTTTACAGGAACTCAGTGTCCCATCAGGTTGTCTTGGAAGGCTGGTGAGGAGAATTTCATCCTGGCTGAGGTTAGAAATGCCAGTGAAGTTTGGGATAATACAATGGTGAGATGGTGAGGCTGAGATGAAATTGTGTAGTAGGAAGTGCATGGGAATGACCAATCTGGGCAGGCAAAGCATCAGGTATACCAGTATCTGGTATTTCCCAAAGCCATCCACCTCCAGAAGAAACTCCTCAAATTTCATTGCTTCTTGGAAGAAAATTGGGGGCAGAGAAGATGGAAGAGCTGAATGACTGGATGGAGGAGCTGGAAGAAGTCTGGCTGTTGAAGTCGATTAAGCACTTTAAGCAGGCAAGTTAAATGTGGTTAATTTCACAGTGAGCAAGCAGCCTTACAGACCTAATGCGCATCTAGTCATGAGACTTGGGAGAGACAAGCCTTTTATAATGAGCTCACAAGAACTGTTCTGTATTCTTCCTGGCTGATCTTGGGAGACCACACAGTCATAAGTGGGAAAGGGAATGGACAGGAATGTGCAGTGATACGCGGCTCTAGAAAGAACTAGATGCAGCCTGTATTCCAAGTAGTGGAGTTCGTAAGGTTAAAAAATAATAAAGAATCTGTGATGCTGTCAGCTCTATGATAATAATTTCAAGCAGGCTCATAACTGAGGCCTCAAAAGTGGCTAGACCACAAGCATTTTTATAAACAAACCTTTGTACATTTCCTTATTATGGTAATCTGTGGAACATCAACAGCCTGGGGAGAAAAGACACAACCAATTCTCATCTAATGTATGAATTCTTCCATGCCTGATCACTTGGAGGCGATTCTCGTCACTGGAGATCAGATGAGCAGTTCAAACTTTATTGAAAGCATTCCTGTTAGAATCTGTACCCAAGCTTTGCTTTAAAAACATAAGATTCAACACCTACATATCTAGAGTATATCAGCTTATTTGGTCTTTACTCTTCAGTCATAAAAATGGGAATGTGCATTTTCTCTGTGGTAAAATGGTGGATTCTACCTGAAGAAGCTAAGAGCCAAGCAGCCTTTTAGACTAACACTGTTAATTTCTGGTCATAGGCTTCACGTCCTGCAAATGAAGGAATTTGTATGTGTGTTGAAAGTGTGCCTTTTGTGTGTGGTTAAAGGACCTATGAAGAAGAAGGGCACACAGCATCAGTTTGTTGTAACCCCAACTCTCTAAAGGTGATTGTTTTGGCAGCAACCAGTCAGTTGTCTATGTTGGGAAATGAGGTTTTATAGTCTCTGGATGTATTGGAAGTATATTCCAAGGGTAAACTCTGTGTCTGTGACGATTTGGTAGTTCAGACTTCTACCCCAAGTAGTTTGCTTCTCTAAAGGTCTGCACTGGGAAAAGCATAAGGGGCAAGTTACAGTTATTCAGTGGCACTACAACAACTTGCTAGAGAAGCTCCTGTGAAAATCCCTTGCAATTTTACCTGAATGGCAGGGTTTTAATAGTCATCACTAAAGATATAAAAATGTAGTTGATCTTTGGGCTATGTCAGAATAACATCTGCCATCTCTGGGAGCTCTCCAAAGTACTGCAGAACTAGACTCCGATCTGTTCCTTGGAAACCTCCTTTATGATCTTAGATACCTTTCTCTTACTTGCCTACATTGTCACCCTGCTGCCCATTTGCCCCTGGCTTCAAGGCCTTATACAGCATTGCACAAGCTCTCACTTTTGGCAGAAAAGGCATTCTAATTACTTTTGGCTGCCTCCTCCCCTCCTTTCCATCTAATTGATCATGCTTACTACTTAGTCATCATCCAGGATAACCAATTACATTGGCACAAAGGACAGAACACAGAGTTCATGTGCAACACTTTCAGTGATCTTAGGACTCCCCCCAGTAACTATGCCAATGCAGCATATGCGTATGGATTTGTATGGATTAGATCTTCCAAGGGACACTTTTTTGTGTATAAAGCTATTTACAGTGGATTAGATCTTCCAAGGGACACTTTTTCTTACCTGTTTTTCATTCCCCAGGCAACTTGGCCTTGGGAAACATTGGATTTACCTCACTCCTCAGAGATACAGTTAACTGCCTTATGAATAAAAAAAAGTACAGACTCAATCAACAGAAGTTAAAAGAGAGACCTGAAACCCCCTAAAGGAAAAGCATACTCACAGTAAAGTTATTTCCACAGAGAAATGATGACTCCCATAATCTCGAATGAACACAAAGATTCCTAAGCCTGCAGCTGGAAAAGATACAACCACTAGCCACCACTCGTTTGAACCCCTCTTAATCATGAAGATTTGCCATTTCCAGACATGCAACCATACTTTGGAGGAAGCTAGACATGATGGCTGCAGACCTATGTACTATCACATGCAAAATGAGGGGTAGGGTTGCCAGGTTTTGACCAAATACCCGAACATTGCCCCGTGACAGCATCACTTCCAGGTCACATGGGCAACGACATAGGCATGTTGGCTAGACCTTCCTCTTTTTCGGGGCAAGTTCCCCCCACTGGCCAGCTGACCAGCAGTGGGGCAATGGGGCCTGGAAGCAGAGGACCCCCGCCTCTACCTGGGGTCTGGCAACCTAGAGAGGGGGAAGTCTAACTTAATGAGCAAAACAAGGTCACTGAGGGTTGCCTCCCACCAGTTCCTCTCCTTGATTGCTTTTCTCTTAGCTGGGCTCATTTCCAGCATTAGAGCCCAAGTGGGGAAAGAAATGCCTCACACATTCGTTCTTTTTGCTGTTAAAATTGGTCTCCTACCTTCTACATGATTATGGCAAGAAGAAGAAGATGAAGAAAAGGAGGAGGGGGAGGAGGAGATTGGGTTTATACCCCGCCCTTCACTACCCAAAGGAGCCTCAGAGCAGCTTACAAACTCCTTTCACTTTCCCTCCCCACAACAGACACCCTGTGAGGTAGGTGGGGCTGAGAGAGCTCTGACAGAAACTGCTCTTTTTCAAGGACAGCTCTTATCAGAACTACGGCTTGCCCAAGGTCATCCAGCAGGTGGAAGTGGAGGAGTGGAGAATCAAACCCAGTTCTCCCAGATTAGAGTCCGCGCACTTAACCACTACACCAAACTAGCTTACATACACAGACTGCATGTCTAGTGTACCCATTACAAAACAAGAAACCCATCTGTACACATTCAATCAGGAACAGCAGATAAGACAGGTTAATGATGTTGTAAGTTACAATGGGTGAAAAACTCAGCTCTAAAACAAGTGCAGAGATACCTACCTTCATAGGACCCGCCTGAACTGTCTGTTGTGATCATAGACAGGTTCAGTAGCCCCAGCTAAATTAAAGAATCTTAATAAAAAGTTTTAAGTTTGAAGCTAGAGTAATCCTCAGAGGGCAGACGGGGACATATAAAACTCATGTTTTTAATATATCCTACAGTTTATTCCTTAGCAATCTGCCCTTCTGAAACACAAACTACTTCTCAGGATTTCTACAGTAGCCATTTCAAATGGAAGCTGGAACTTTTATCTTCAACATCAGTTTCCCCTGACACACATTTCCCTCAGGCAAAGAACCAATTAGGCAACCTCCTTGCTTTTTCCCTTCCACTGGGCTTAAACATTCACATGAACTAAACATAGCCTTGTAACTTCCGGAGAATTTTTGCCAAGTTTTAATAACATTTTATGTGACACATCCTTCTTTTTTGAAGTCAGTCATTACTGTAATTCTGAAATTCCACACTATTGCAGTAACCTGAGGCGGCCTCTCCAGCATGACGGGCACATGATACTTACATGTGCTAGCAGAAGAGCAGGGCTCAGTGTGGTTAATACGTCGCTTCATTATCTCAATGAAACAATGCAGCTCCTAGTAAACCCAACCTTCACCTTTGGCATTTGTGTTCCCATTTATACTGCATGATGGCACAGTATCAGTACCAAAATTGCCAACGTGACAGGAACATAATAGCAGCAGGGCCTTTATAGTTGTTGTCCCAAGGCTCTGGAATAAAGTCCCAGAGGAGATGTACGCATTCACTTCTCTTTTACCCTTCTGTAATGTCAGCAGTGCAGAAGCATCTTCTAATTACAATCATATTGTATGACTTTAGGGGGATGCTGGGCTTTTTTATAGCACTAAACATGGTTTAGATATTTGATGTTGGCTTTTGCGGGACTTAATAAAAGCAACAAATCAAAGTGCCAAGTTTCATATGTTCTGCATCTGGTAAAAATACATTTGTTTCCCAAGGCCATCTGAAAGTTTTTATTGTTGTTGTTGTTGTTACCCATTTTCTAACTGTTCCTTCACCTACAAGGTATCTGCTGGCCCTCTGATTTGAACTTTGGACACTTCCACAGTGTTTATAATAGTGGCCGCTGGATTTTCAAATACCCGTTTTTCAGCTTTGTAGGAGCTGCCTTATGTTTGATACGGCTGTTGTGCTTGCTTAATCTACTACTGCCATTGTAAGATGCTTTTTGGTTTTGTATGCAGAGTTTCTTTTGTTTTTAGAAGAAGAGATTGGATTTAAGGTGAAGGCATTTGACATTTTTAACATGTTGTCTATATTATTGGATTGTAAGCTGCCCCAATACTCTTTTTTGACTAAGAGACAGAGTAAAATTTCTTAAATAGATCTTTTAAAGAAAAACTCAATAGTCTCTTTTGTTGGGAGGCCGCCAACATAGGCATCAGGGGGTATGCATGGCTGCCACCAAGACCATCAGCTTTTCATCTGCTTGGTAATGGTCTGTAAAAGAAGGGGCATAACAATAGGGAGAGCTCTTAGGTTAATGGCAGAGCATATACCTTGCCTATGCAAAAGATTCTGAGGATGCCTGAGATTCTGAAGATGTCAGATTCTGATTGTCACAGTGCTAAATTGACCAGTGTTCTAACTTGGTAAAAGGCAGATGCACGCGTAGAGCAGCTTACATAGGATTCCAAACAGTTTCCTATTTAGACAGGATATAGACCAGACCCACTGAGCTTCAGCAACAGATCTGCACCGTATACCCTCGTGCATTCTCTGGGCTGTAGAACGTATTCCAGAAATCATTGCCATGATACGGCTTGTTCCCCCTACAGACACCTCATCCTTTGAGGCCTCAAACTCACCCCATTTTCAGCACTTCATATTGCACATTTGGAGATTATCATTGTTAGCAGTCTGTTAAATAAATGGGAAAAGACACATCAGCGAAAAGGTAGGCGAGCTTTTTAATGGCATGATCAAGAGTTCCCTTTGAATAACAAATCTAATAATGACTG